GAACCACTGGCTCTTTGAGATGCTTGGACGAAAATGCTGGGTGAGCTGGGGATCTCCTGGCCCTCTGTGTCTCCCTCCTCTTCCTCTTCCTCCTTCTCCTGCCTTATCTTCCCCATCCTCCCCTCCCCCCCTTTCTTCCCCTCTTCTCCCTCCTCCTTCCCCTCTCCATCATCTCTCCTAGAATCCCCTTAACCATTTTCCACCCATCCCAGGAAGATCTCAGTGTGTCTACTCACCTTCCCTCTGGCTATGGCTCTTTCTATGGACTCAGAACAGCCAACAAGAAGGAAGGGCCAAGTCTGGATCCAAGACCTTCTGGATCCCCCTGACCAGACTCCACTGACCCCTGTTCTTCCTTCTCAGACGCTGGCCACTGCAGTTGTTCAGCTGTACCTGGCATTACCCCCTGGAGCTGAGCACTGGACCAAGGAGCATTGTGGGGCTGTGTGCTTCGTGAAGGATAACCCCCAGAAGTCCTACTTCATCCGCCTTTATGGCCTTCAGGTGACCCCTGCCCCTACTTAGCATGCAAACCAGTTCTCAACCCACAAACCTAGATCTGTGTCCATAGCCCAAGCCCTTGGGCCAGATCAGTGAACCCTTGAACCCCAGAACTAAACTCTGCAGGGCTCTCAAATTTAGAACCATCCAGATTCCAGACTCTGGTTTGCTTTTCTATGTCTGTGATAACTGACCCCAGAGTCTCCATATCAAGATCTCTAAACCCCCAAATATTTGTATACTTCCTATGCCTTATCTATTTCACAAACTCCCCCCAAAATTAGTACTGTATTTATACCTGAACCTCAGATATGTTCTAAACTAAATATTGTATACCCCAGGAATCTCCCATCAAAACTCCCGAATCCCAGATGTCTCTCCTAAATTATAAATCTGAACCCAAATATACCATTGAGTCTTGAACTCCAGTCTAGCCTTTTAAAGCCACAGCATGGACCCCAGAACTCTCACTTTTTTTAATTTTTAATTTTAATTTTTATTTTTTAAGAAAGACTTTTGCTATAGGGCACATGCACTCACTGGAGAGACAGAGAGAGACAAAAAGCAAGAAATCATCCCCCCAGGGGGAATGGCCACATTGCAATCCCTTATCCATTCTTCCCTTGGGATTTTTGTACATGCATCCACATGTCCCTGGCATGAGTTTCAAGCTACTGGGCCCAAGACTCAAACTACCGTCGGCTATGTGAGAGTCCAGTGATATAACCATTACACCATCTGCTGGTCCCCAGAATTCTCATATTAAAACTCCTGAACACTCAAATACAGAGATCATTCTTAAGCAAAAAGTAGTTTGCTCCACAAATCCACGACATGAACTTTTGAGGCTTAATCCCACATTCATCCTTCTAAGCCCATAAAGATGGACCTAGTCCCAAACTGCACCTACTTTGCTGGGACTCTGCCTAAATTCCTAAGTCTGTATGTCTGAACCTCCCAATATCAATGCTCAAATACGAGGGAACTTCAAAAAGTTTGTGGAAAATGGAATTAAGAGTTTATCTTGGTGCAAAAAATTTGAAGATCAGGCAGTTGTTTTTTTGGGGTTTTTGTTTGTTTGTTTGTTTGCTATAGGGTGTGTGGGGTCGCCAGAGAGAGGGAAGGTGAGAAATAACCCCTGGGGGGATGTCCACCCTACAATCCCATCTCCTCTAGTCTCTTCTCAGCATTTTGGGCCTGAACATACACATGCCCGGCATGATTTTCATGCCACTCAGTCCAGGACTCAAACTGCAGGTGGCCATGTGGGATCCAGCACCTTGACCTTCATGCCACCTGCTGGCCTGGTCATACATAATGTTTCTTTTCATTTTTTTTATTATTTAACTTTATTTATTTATTTCTATTTGACCAGAAAGGAACAGAATGAGAGAGAGAGAAAGTGAGAAAGCAAATGACCAGGTCCAGGACTCGCGAACAGTGTTTGGCCAGGTGGGAGTCCAGCGCCCTTAACCACCACACCACCTGCTGGCCTCATGGTCATGAATAATGTTTAAATAACACACATTTCCATGAACTTTTTGAAGACCCCTCAAGCTAGAACCCTACCTGCCATGAAGAAGCAGTATCGAGATTGAGACTATGATGAGCCTCTGTTTTCTGGGACTAGAGTCCTAAATTCTCAAATTCAAGCCCCTAACTCCCATATCTAGGGCCCTGAGCCCCAAATACAAACCTCTCACAGCAGTATCTGACTGCCATACTATCCTCCAAACCTCCACATCTGATACTTAGACCCCCAGCTCTCGGATACCGAGCTCAAAATCTCCAAATTAGATCCTGGGAGCCTAAATCTGGACATTGTGCTTGCTGCCCAGATAACAAAGACCTGCCACACAGAGCACTTCAGTGCCAGCATGTCCCCAACCTTATACCTCTCCAGGCTGGCCGGTTGCTATGGGAACAGGAACTATACTCACATCTGGTCTACTCCACTCCCACGCCTTTCTTCCACACTTTTGCTGGAGATGTAAGTGACCAACAAACCCTTGGGATTCAGTTGGGGTATGGGGAGGAGATGGAAAAGGTGCAGGGGTCCTGAAAGGCTGCTGACTACAAGGCATGTGCAGGACTGCCAAGCGGGGCTGAACTTTGCAGATGAGGGAGAGGCCCAGGCGTTCCGGGCCCTGGTGCAGGAGAAGATCCAAAAAAGGAATCAGAGGCAAAGTGGAGGTGAGGAGGCCTTGGGGGAGGAAAGGAGGTTGGGCAAAGGTGAGTGCAAGAGTTGGGAGCTAGGAAAACCCCTCTTGTAATTCTGGTTCCCAATCTAACTGCCTATCCACAGACAGACGCCAGCTACCCCCACCACCAGCACCTGCCAATGAAGGTAAGTCCTCTAGTATAAGAAGAGGTAGTAATAAGGGGCTAACTTGAGAACCCATGGTAGGGTTCTTATAGCTCTCTGCCCATTCCATCTTCACAGAGAGAAGAGGGGGGCTCCCACCCTTGCCCCCACATCCAGGTGGAGACCAAGGGGGTGAGTGCTGATTCCTCCTTGTATCTCTCTCTGGATGGGCAGGTAGGTGGGGGAGTGGGTAGATGGAAGGGTAGATAAATTACTTTATGGATGGGCAAGTGGGTGAATAAATGCATGGATGGAGAGCTATGCAGATGGATGAGCACGTGGATGGATGGGTGGATGGATAGACTGAAGGTAGATGACTGAGTAAGGGTATAAATTTATGATAGCATAAAAGTAGAAATAGATGTATAGGTGGGCATATAAATGCATAGGTGGACAAGTACACAGAAAAATGGATCAACAGATGGATGACTGAGTGAATTAATGAATTAGTGAATGAATGAATGAATGAACAGTGAATAAATAACATAAATGATCAATCAGTGAAGAAAGCAATGATTGAGTTAATAATTAAATGAATGAATAAATAATTTAACTAATTAGTCGATGTGTCATGAATGAATGAGTCAATACTTAGGTGATAAGCATGAGTGAATGAATGAATGAATGAATCAGTGAATGTATGAATGATTTTCAGGATCCACCCACTTCTTCACAGATCCTGCTTGGACCTTTTACCTACTCCCTCCATGACCATCACACACAGACACAACTCACCCAATAGTCTTGCCCTGTGCTTTGTTTGGTAGGTAAGTGAGTCAATGGTCTACAGTCCAGTCACCCTTTTTCTCCCTACAGGCCCACCAACTGGCCCACTGTCACTGGGGCTGGTGACAGTGGACATCCAGAACCCTGACATCACGAGCTCACGATATCGTGGGCTCCCAGCACCTGTCGCTGGCTCAGCTGATAAAAAACGCTCAGGGAAGAAGAAGATCAGTAAGGCAGATATTGGTGCACCCAGTGGATTCAAGTGAGAATCTCTTTTTGGTGGGCCCACAGAGCCCTGGGAGTGGGGAGGTGGGCATGTGAACAGGTGGACAGCTGAGCGGATGGAAGAGTGAGCAGCTAGATAAGTGTATGGGTAGGAGATGAGTGGATAGGTAGGTAGATGCAGAGCTGGAACTAGAAAGAGGTAAGGCATGTAGGATGCAAAATTTAAGGACACAGTCACTCTCAGTCATATAACTTTAACTCATGATTCTGAGAGTCAGTGCCTCCTTAAATTTTGCATCCTAGGCACCTCACTTGCCTCAACCTAGATCCACCCTGGGTGGGCTGATGGGGAAATGAATGGGTAAGTGAGTAGGTAGATGAATGGATAGATGAGTGAATGATTGGGTTGAAGAAGGAATGGATACATGGTTTGGATGAAAGGATGGATGGCTTGACAGGAAGTGATGTAAGTGACCAACAAACCCTTGGGATTCAGTTGGGGTATGGGGAGGAGATGGAAAAGGTGCAGGGGTCCTGAAAGGCTGCTGACTACAAGGCATGTGCAGGACTGCCAAGCGGGGCTGAACTTTGCAGATGAGGGAGAGGCCCAGGCGTTCCGGGCCCTGGTGCAGGAGAAGATCCAAAAAAGGAATCAGAGGCAAAGTGGAGGTGAGGAGGCCTTGGGGGAGGAAAGGAGGTTGGGCAAAGGTGAGTGCAAGAGTTGGGAGCTAGGAAACCCCCTCTTGTAATTCTGGTTCCCAATCTAACTGCCTATCCACAGACAGACGCCAGCTACCCCCACCACCAGCACCTGCCAATGAAGGTAAGTCCTCTAGTATAAGAAGAGGTAGTAATAAGGGGCTAACTTGAGAACCCATGGTAGGGTTCTTATAGCTCTCTGCCCATTCCATCTTCACAGAGAGAAGAGGGGGGCTCCCACCCTTGCCCCCACATCCAGGTGGAGACCAAGGGGGTGAGTGCTGATTCCTCCTTGTATCTCTCTCTGGATGGGCAGGTAGGTGGGGGAGTGGGTAGATGGAAGGGTAGATAAATTACTTTATGGATGGGCAAGTGGGTGAATAAATGCATGGATGGAGAGCTATGCAGATGGATGAGCACGTGGATGGATGGGTGGATGGATAGACTGAAGGTAGATGACTGAGTAAGGGTATAAATTTATGATAGCATAAAAGTAGAAATAGATGTATAGGTGGGCATATAAATGCATAGGTGGACAAGTACACAGAAAAATGGATCAACAGATGGATGACTGAGTGAATTAATGAATTAGTGAATGAATGAATGAATGAACAGTGAATAAATAACATAAATGATCAATCAGTGAAGAAAGCAATGATTGAGTTAATAATTAAATGAATGAATAAATAATTTAACTAATTAGTCGATGTGTCATGAATGAATGAGTCAATACTTAGGTGATAAGCATGAGTGAATGAATGAATGAATGAATCAGTGAATGTATGAATGATTTTCAGGATCCACCCACTTCTTCACAGATCCTGCTTGGACCTTTTACCTACTCCCTCCATGACCATCACACACAGACACAACTCACCCAATAGTCTTGCCCTGTGCTTTGTTTGGTAGGTAAGTGAGTCAATGGTCTACAGTCCAGTCACCCTTTTTCTCCCTACAGGCCCACCAACTGGCCCACTGTCACTGGGGCTGGTGACAGTGGACATCCAGAACCCTGACATCACGAGCTCACGATATCGTGGGCTCCCAGCACCTGTCGCTGGCTCAGCTGATAAAAAACGCTCAGGGAAGAAGAAGATCAGTAAGGCAGATATTGGTGCACCCAGTGGATTCAAGTGAGAATCTCTTTTTGGTGGGCCCACAGAGCCCTGGGAGTGGGGAGGTGGGCATGTGAACAGGTGGACAGCTGAGCGGATGGAAGAGTGAGCAGCTAGATAAGTGTATGGGTAGGAGATGAGTGGATAGGTAGGTAGATGCAGAGCTGGAACTAGAAAGAGGTAAGGCATGTAGGATGCAAAATTTAAGGACACAGTCACTCTCAGTCATATAACTTTAACTCATGATTCTGAGAGTCAGTGCCTCCTTAAATTTTGCATCCTAGGCACCTCACTTGCCTCAACCTAGATCCACCCTGGGTGGGCTGATGGGGAAATGAATGGGTAAGTGAGTAGGTAGATGAATGGACAGATGAGTGAATGATTGGGTTGAAGAAGGAATGGATACATGGTTTGGATGAATGGATGGATGGGTTGACAGGAAGTGATGGGTAGATGGATGGGTGAATTAAATGAGTGTGTGGACAGAATGATATGCAGGCTGATTGGCTCACAAACAAGGTAAATGGGGATGGATAGATGTATATGTGTGAATGGACAGTTCAATGGATAAGTGAACAGAAGTGTGTGGTTGAATGGATAGAAAACTGAAGGGACGGATGGGAAGGTGGGCACATGAGCAGATGGATGGATAGACTGTGAGGACAGATTGGTAGACAGATGAGTAAACAGACATGTGTGAGCAGATGAGTAGACAGATATATGGACAGACCTGCAACCTGACAGATACATTTTTTTGGGGGGGAGAGGTTTTTGCTATAGGGCACATGCGCTTACCAGAAAGACAGAGAGAGACAGAGAGACAGAAAGTGAGAAATCACCCCCCAGGGGGATGGCCATGCCACAATCCCTTCTCCTCCATTCTCCTCTCGGGATCTTGAGCACGCACGCACACGCGCCCGATGTGAGTTCAAGCCACTGGGTCCAGGACTCAAACCGCGGTTGACTACATGGGAGTCCAGCGACATAGCCATTACACTAACTGCCAGTCCCCTGACAGATAAATTTAAAGGGATAGTTGGACAAGTGACTGGGTGGATGGATGGTGGAAAGAGGGATGAGTGGTCAGATCTGTACCACCCCCTTCTAATTCCACAACTCCTGCTCATACTCATTCACTCACTCAGACTCATTCAATAATTCTGGCCCCTTGGAGTCCCTCCGGCCAGGACAGGGCAGGAGGGCTTTACTAGGAAGGAAGGGAAAGAAGAGTAGTGGGGCTTCACTGTGGTTTCCTCACCTTCCCTCAGACACGTCAGCCATGTGGGGTGGGACCCTCAGAATGGATTTGACGTGAGTAATTCCACAGTCTCCCAGACCCCACTCAACTACCACCCACCCTTCCACAAACCAATGCTTAGACCCCCTCCCTCCCCCAAATCCCTACCCTTCCGACATCCCTCAGATCCCTCACTGGGATAGACCTGATAGTAATCCATGTCCCTTCCTTTCTCACCTTACTCCTCCACCCTTGCCCTGGCCTTTTTCCTCCTGGGCAGGTGAACAACCTAGACCCGGACCTGCGGAGCCTGTTCTCCAGGGCAGGGATCAGTGAGGCCCAACTCACTGATGCAGAGACCTCCAAACTTATCTACGATTTCATTGAGGACCAGGGCGGGCTGGAGGCTGTGCGGCAGGAGATGAGGCGCCAGGGTGAGCCCCCACTTCTGTATACCTCCTCTTCTCCAGGCCTGACAGCTGATACAAGATACAGTGTATACAAAAGATACACTGAGGTCACTCAGTCCTCATGGAAACCCTTATCCTATTTGAATCAGGAGTTGGACAGCTGGGATACCCATTTAACAAAGGAGCAAAAGTGAAGCTCAAAAGAATATGATAATAATGGCAACTGTGTGTTACTTTCTCCTTACAGAGCCGCTTCCACCACCCCCACCACCATCCCGAGCAGGGAACCAGCCCCCTCGGCCCCCTATTGTGGGGGGTAACAAGGGTCGTTCTGGCCCACTGCCCCCTGTACCTTTGGGGGGTGCCCCACCTCCACCAACCCCCCGGGGGCCCCCACCCCCAGGCCGAGGGGGCCCTCCACCACCACCCCCTCCAACCACTGGACGTTCAGGTCCACCACCCCCTCCACCTCCTGTTGCTGGGGGGCCACCCTTGCCACCGCCACCACCACCTCCACCACCTCCACCCAGTTCTATGGATGGGCCAGTCCCTCCCCCACCCCCTCCTGCTCCAGTGACTGGGGGGGGCCTGGCCCCTGGTGGGGGTCGGGGGGCACTTTTGGATCAAATCCGGCAGGGAATTCAGCTGAACAAGGTGAGAATGGGCAGGAGGTATGATTGGAGGTCTGGGACTCTGGGGTGCCCTGGGCAAGTCAGGATGTAGGGGGCTGAGGCAGAGACTGATGGCGGGTGCCAGGCTTTTGGAGTACAGTGATAGAGTTGGAGGTTGGTGGGTACCCTTTGAATGGAGTTGGAGTGTGTAAGAGGAGGAGAAATAATGAAGAGGCAGGAGAAGTGCTCTTCTCACCGGCCTTGAGCCCTCTGTTCTGACCCCTACTTGTTGCAGACCCCTGGAGCTTCAGAGAGCTCAGCGCTGCAGCCACCACCTCAGAGCTCCGAAGGACTGGTGGGGGCCCTGATGCATGTGATGCAGAAGAGGAGCAAAGCCATCCACTCGTCAGGTGAGCCTACCCTGCCAGGACCATGAACCTGGCACCCCAGGCTGGAATTCACCCAAAGCCACCCCAAGCAATAATCATCAAGTAGTGTCATTAGCCCCACCTGTTGATGAGAGGATTAACCTGTGGCTTGTGTCAGTCTCTTTTTTGACAGTGTTAACATTGTCATTATGTGACAATAATAATTCACCCTAATTAACTCTACCTTTGGAAATAATATTAACACTAATGCCAGGGTGTATCCAGAAGATGACCATTAATCCCAAATGCTCAGAACTGTACCTATTAGCCCACTATGGGATGATAATGTATTATACAGGACTTGGGGGGGGGGCAGACTGCAGCACATTGGTAAAACACGATGCTTTGTGAGGCAGTCCCACATGGGAAGGTTTTGGGCTTGCGTCCAGAGACCTCCTTGAATACACCAGGCACACACATGCCTGATTGCAATTCCTATTTTGTCCCAAACAGAAACTCTAAAACTCTCCTTCTAGCAGGAGACCTCAGTCCTCCAAGGTGGAGTCTCCTACAAACCTCCCCAACTCCCCAGGGCCTCTGAACCGCCTCCCCAGTCCACACCTATCCTGAGTCTCACTCCTTTCTTTCTCTCTCCCTCCAGACGAAGGGGAGGACCAGGCCGGAGATGACGATGAGGATGATGAATGGGATGACTGATTCACTGCCCTGAGCTCCTCTCCCAGGCGGGTGACCCCACTGCACCTGCTCTGCCCCTCTCCATACCCTCCACCCACTCCATCCCACTGCCCACAGTACCAGGTCCTCCACTGTCAAATTCTGGGCCCCCACACCCCATTTCTTCCCTACCAGCCCCTCCAAAGCTGTTATCTTGGAATGGTCCCACAGTCACCTTAGCAATACCCAGAACCATTTTTATACAAATTTTCTGAGTTCTTGCCATTCCAGAATTTTTAAGCAAAATAAAATAATTGTCTTTTTGTCTCTTTTCATCTCAGTTGTTTACGTTCCAAATGTGGGAATTTGGAATCGTTTCCTCAAAAAGTTCCTTTTATTCATTTATCTCTTTTTATTTATTTAGACATACATGTATATATTTATTTATTTGTCTATTTTTTCTCCCATCATTTAGCCTGTATTTCTGTTTCGTTCTGTTCTTCTAGCTTTCCACAAACATTTATTATCAGGCACTATTTTAGGAGCTGGGGATGGAGGAGTGGGAAAAAAAGAAAAAGCAGACAAAAATTCCTGCACTCAGGTCCAGCAGGTGGTGTGGTGGTTAAGGGCTCTGGACTCCCACATGGTTGACCATGGTTCGAGTCCTGGACTTGGTGGCTTGCTTTCTCACTTTCCCTCTTTCTCTCTCTCTCTTTCTGTCCCTCTGTGGTCAAAATTAAAATAAATAAATAAAGTTAAATAAAATAATTCTTTAAAAAAAATTTCTGGGGCCGGCAGGTGGCATGGTGGTTGAGGTGCTGGACTCCCACATGGCCGACCCTGGTTCGAGTCCTGGACCTGGCGGCCTCCTTTCTCGCTTTCCCTCTCACTCTGTCCCTCTCTGGTCAAATTAAAATAAATAAAGTTAATGAAAATAATTCTTAAATAAATAAATAAATAAATAAATAAATAAATAAATAAATAAAATTGAATAGATAATTCTTAAAAAAAATTTCTGCCCTCATGGAGTGGAATCCACATTTTAAGAGAGGAAACAGACAAGAAACAAGAAATCAAGTAGAGGTCCAGCTGAGATGGTTCAGGGAGTAGGTGCCACTGCATGATACTAAAACTATATCAGGAGGCCCCATGTTTGAATCCCAGGTCCACCTGAACACTCTGGGCATGAGTGGAAGGCAGGGATCATGGTATGGTGGGATCCTGTCTGGGGTCCTGCCCTTCCTTCTCTCCATCCCCCTCCCCCATAAAACAAACTTCTTAAAAAATATAATTATTGATTTAATTTTTATGTGTTTTTTTTTTTAATTTGCTATAGGGCACATGTACTCACCAGAGAAAGAGAAAGTGAGAAAGTGAAAAATAGTGAAGAAGAGAGACTTGAATTGCAGTTGGCCACATGAAAGCCTAGAACTGAGGTCCCTGCCCTTTTGCATTTCTTAAATCTGGTGGATTAGGGAACCAGCAGTTAGCGTAATGGCTATGTCGCTGGACTCCCACGTGGTCGACCGCGGTTCGTGTCCCGGACCCAGTGGCTTAAAACTCACGCCAGGCGCGTGTGCGTGCGTGCCCAAGATCCCGAGAGGAGAATGGAGGAGAAGGGATTGCGGCGTGACCATCCCCCCTGGGGGGTGATTTCTCGCTTTCTGTCTCTATGTCTCTCTCTGTCTGGCGAGCGTACGCGCCCTACAGTGAAAATCTCTCCAAAAAAAAAAAATCTGGTGGATTAAAGATCCCAGATTCCCTACCTTTAATAGAAGAGGAGGAGAAGTGGAGAGGAGAGGAAGATAAAGATGAGGGGAGATGGGACCAGCAGTTAGCGTAATGGCTATGTCGCTGGACTCCCACGTGGTCGACCGCGGTTCGTGTCCCGGACCCAGTGGCTTAAAACTCACGCCAGGCGCGTGTGCGTGCGTGCCCAAGATCCCGAGAGGAGAATGGAAGAGAAGAGATTGTGGTGTGGCCATCCCCCTGTGGGGTGATTTCTCACTTTCTGTCTCTCTGTCTTTCTGGCAAGCACACACGCCCTATAGCAAAAACATCTCAAAAAAATAAATAAATAAAATAAAAAACAAAGATGAGAGGGGAAACTTAGCCTCCCCATCCACCCCATAAGACCAGTAGAAGAATATTTGAACCATTGATGTGGGAGTGAGGGTGGGATGTTGAGGGAGAAAGGAAACAAGTGAGGGAGCTATGGGGTTGGAAGCTAGTTTTGTCCCTGGAAGGGGCAATTGCCCCAGAGCTAGAAAAGGGAGTCTCAAGTTTCCTCTAATTGTTTCATGATTCTTCTGCTCCCTACTCTACTCCCTACCTGACCCTGGCCAGGTCCCCAGGCAGGTACTAGGTCAAAGAAGGGCTTATCAATATCAATATCCCCCCATCCCTCACAGAAACCCTACAAATCTAGTGTTCTGGGCCTCCTTTGGCAGGCTTTGTCCTGGAAAAGACCTTACATCATACACCTTCTGAATCCCTATGAGCTCTGGGTAGAGCAGGTGCATACTTGGGGTAAAAGAACTGACTGTTGTCAAGTTGCTCAACCTCTTTGGTCTGTTTCTTCAGTCTTTAAAATGAGGATTAAAATGTTGGGACCAGCAGTTGGAGTAATGGCTATGGCGCTAGACTCCCATGTACTCGACCATGGTTCGAGTCCCAGACAGGGTGACTTAAACTCACACCTGGCACGTATGCGTGCGTGCCCAAGATCCTGAGAGGAGAATGGAGGAGAAAGGGATTGCAGCATGGCCAGCCCCCCAGAGGGGGTGATTTCTCACTTTCTATCTCTCTGTCTTTCTCTGTCTTTCTGGCGAGCGCACACGCCCTATAGCAAAAACCTTTTAAAAATGCATATTACAGGCAAGATAGTGGCACATTGGTAAAAATACAACACTTTGCAGAACACATGGAAAGGTTCTGGGTTCCTGTCAGATTCTTCCCTGAGTACTCTGAGCACCTGTGTGCCCGTGATCCATGGCTGGCTGGGGCTGGGGTGAATCAAAGTGTCAAGACTCTGTAGGGAGTGCTGCCTCTCTGTCTCTGTCTCTCTTGCTCATGGAAGAAATAAATAAACCTTACAAAAATGTTTATTACCGGGGTCAGCAGGTGGCATAGTGGTTCAGGTGCTGGATTCACACATGGCCGACCACAGTTCAAGTCCCAGTCCTGGCAGCTTGAAATTCATGTCGAGCCTGTGTGCATGTGTGCCCAATATCCCGGGAGGAGAATGGAGGGGAAGAGATTGCAACATGGTCATTCCCCCTGGGGGATGATTTCTTGTTTTCTGTCTTTGTCTCTCTGTCAAGCACGTGTGCCCTATAGCAAAAATCTCTCTCTAAAAAAAAGCTTATTACCTCATGGGGCTGTAGCGATTTGCAAAGCACCTGGCTCCTTGTAGGCCTCTATCAATAGTAGCTACTATTGTCATTGTCATTGTTGTACTACTGTATTTCACTGACCCTGAGTCACCTCTGATCATAAAATGTACCATTGTTTTACGTATCACTAAGAGATGAAAAAGTGTTGTCATTTAAATTATAACTCACCAGTCCTTGTAAGACATGGGCTGACTTCAGAAATGTTAAAAAATCATTTCTGCAGTCCTGATTGATAATGTTGTTTCTTTTCTTTCTTTCTTTCTTTCTTTCTTTCTTTCTTTCTTTCTTTCTTTCTTTCTTTCTTTCTTTTTCTTTCCTTCCTTCCTTCCTTTTTCTTTCTTTTTCTCTTTCTTTTCCTTTCTCTCTCTCTTTCCTTCCTTCCTTCTTTTTTCTTTCTATTTCTTTCTTCTTTCTTTCTTTCCTTCCTTCTTTCTTTTTTTTTTTTGTCTGTAGGACATGTGACTTTACCAGAGAGACAGAAAGCAAGAAATCACCCCCCAGGGGAGATAACCACACCCAATCCCTTCTCCTGCATTCTCCTCTCAGGATTTTGGGCACGCATGCTCATGCACCCAGTGTGAGTTTTAAGCCGCCAAGTCCAGGACTCCAACCACAGTCAACTACATGGGTGTCCAGCAACATAAGAGCTACACCATCTGTGGTCCTGGTGATGTTTCTTAACCTGTACTCTGGTTCCACACGCATGTTTGATTGCAAAAACTCATTACACTTTTCATCCATGGTCTATGTGCTCTTCTATGCATGTTTTATACTCCATATGAGGTTTACATTAAAACAGATCAATCCTGTGGGGCTTGTAGTAGATAAAATCTTGTATTGACCCCAGCATTTGGCAATGCAGTGTACACAGGAGACACTAAATTAATACTGAATGAACAGACTAATGGCTAAGAGTGGGACACAGGAATAAGAGGATGACCTCTTACTTTTGAGGTTTCCTGAGAAGGTACTAGTCCAGAAACATTCATTTTCCAGATGCGTGGGAGACACCCCAAGGTCACTCATCAGAGGTTTTATAGAAACTGCCTAAGGTCACACAGTTTAGTAAATGGTAGGGCCAGGATTTGAATCAATGTCGTGAGACTCCATACTCCAGGCCTTTATCCACTATATTATACTGTTTGGGAGGGCTAAAGGATGTTTCCCTCCACCCACAGATCCCCTATATCTCTACCCCACCTTCAACCCCGGATCCGGGTAAACAAAAGTCAGTTATTTATTTATTTTCGTTTTTGCTATAAGGCACATGTGCTCAGTAGAGAGACACACAGAGAGAGAAATCACCCCTCCTCAGGGTAGATGGCCATGCAACAATTCCTTCTCCTCCATTCTCCTCTCAGGATTTTGGGCATGCATACATATGTGCACTATATGATTTTCAAGCCACTGGGTCTGGGAATCAAACAGCTCAGTGAGTCATGTGGGATCCAGCTGCCTTAGCCACCATGCCACCACCATCGACTGAGGTCATATCTTAAACCACTCTCACAGGTAGGACAGGTCTCCTGGACTCCTCAGAGTAGGAGGGTCCTGTGTCCTGGGGGAGACTGTGAGAATGTGAGGACTAGCATCTTATTCTGTTTTAGAAGGAACAAACGAGGGAAGGGGATGCATGATAGGATTTATGCTGTTGACTGTTTCACTCATGGTGAGCAAGAACTGATAGAACCTCAGACTGACCAGCCATTTATCCAGCCAGATCACAGCTGGAGCAGTGAGCAAGATAGAATATCCATTTGGTTAACTGTATAACCATTTAGTTACTATATAACTGATGGAGCGACTGGGATGGGGGCAATTCACAGAACTGATAGCATTGCTTCCTGACACCATGAGGTACTGAACATCTAACTGAATAAGAACTCACCTATGCCTGGCTAGGGCTGGTGGCCAGTCAGTCAGCCTCCTGAGGGCCTTATGGGCTGGTCAACTGATGATCCACAGAACCGCTGCCTGCCTAGGTAGCCAGATGTTGTGAATGGCTGACTATTGCTAGGAAACATACCTGGGCTGAGGGAATGTCTAGATGTTATACTGGCCAGTGCCATTTCAAAGAGCTGACTGATCAACAAGTCTCTGGATGCCTGCTAAGCAGTTGTATCAGGTGATGGACTGTCCACCTTGACTGAATCACAGCACGCTTGAAGGCCTGGCTGGTTGCTCCAACTGACTGATCATCGAACAGACAGTGTGGTAGTTTAGATGCTAAGAATGACTATTGACAATGTGATGGAGAGCAGAAAGAAGGAGACACAGGCCAGCTCACCAACAGCAAGATCGACATAGTTGTCTGACTAGATGGCCGCATGTTTTACAGACTGTCTGCCCTGATAGAATCCCAGCATCCCTGAGGGGCCCAGTGCATTAGAGGATACTGACTGACTGACCTGACTAATGTCAGGGGATGAACCTCCTGAGAAATGACAGACTGGCTTGGCTTAATCCTACTTCTAGTTGATGTAACTCTTTTCTCTAAGGGCCCAGTTGGGTGTTGTGACTGATCGTGGTGTGAACATGGGGTAACCTGAGGGAGCTAAGTCACGAACGTGTGACTGTCAGTCAGGGCTGTATTAGACAGGGATAACGACAGCTTGTCCCAATAGAACTACAACCTGCCTTTGGAAATGGCTAGATGCTGTAGTTTATGGGCAGATTCCCCCATGGGGATTGCAAGGGTAGATGGAGAGGAGGGCTGATTGCCAATGTGAGGACAGAACATTCTGCCAGAATCACAGCTGGTCCGAGAGCACAAATGGATGCTGCTACTGACTGACGTACTGTATGAAGGGGGGCAGGGGTCTGACTACACACCTGTCTGGGGTGACTGACCCAGTCTGATTTGAAACGGGTGGACCCACTTAGCAACTGAATGTGGTACTAGTCCACCCTGAGACTGATGGCCTGCCCGGGTTTAACATGTGATGACAGAATGACTGACGGTAATAATGGGGGTCTGACAGGACAGAGAATCCCTCTGTGACTGGCTGACGACGTGATTGGCTATCGGAGTGACAGACAGACCAGCGTACAGGGAGGGCCTCTGGCAACCTTAGCTA